AAAAAAAAAAACAAAACATTTTACCAATTTGCTTCATGTATTCTTTCCCTTCCTTCCCTCAAGATATAAAGGTAAAAATAAAATAGAACCTCCATAGTTGACTACCTCCTTAAGGTGACCTAATTTTTATAGATTGGACATGGATCACATGCACATATCAGTATAGTTGGCCTACTTCTTTATGTTGACCACTTCTGTATATTGACCAATTTGTTACAGTCCCTTGGGTGGTCAACTTAAAGAAGTTCTACAGTATTTTGAAGTGGCTTACAGGAATCTCATGCAGTCTTTAGTTAGTTTAAACCATCTTTTTTATCCTTCCAAGAGGAAAGTGGCGTGCAAATATTCTGCAAACTACTCATTATGAATTTTGTATCTTTTCAGTCTTCATTAGGGATATTTAAACTCATTTTGAATTAGGTTATTATTTGCCCTTTGTTTAAAATTTAAATCAAGAGAATCTTTCTGTCCTCAATTGCCTGATCAACCCATGATTTTGCAATTCTATTTCTTCAGATAAAACAAGCATTTTTAATGCCTACGTAACTATTGTATGAGTATAAAAAATACAAGTATGTATTAAAATGTTTAGATATATGCTGTGTTTGTTTGTTTTACTAAGCTCTTGGGTAAGTAATTTATAGGTGTTTTAGGAAATCAAACGTTAGACTATATACATTTTATTTTATATTAGGAGTTGGAACAAAAATTGACCCCACTTTATGCCGGGCTGACAGAATGGTGGGTCAGGTACTTGGTGCAGTTGGAGCTTTACCTGAAATCTTCACAGAATTGGAAATTTCCTATTTCCTACTCAGACGGCTTCTAGGCGTACGCACTGAAGGAGACAAGAAAGCAGCAAAGGTAAGTGCTTCTTATAATTCCTGTTTCAAAAAAAAGTAACAAATGGTGATGTTAAAACTAGTTTTGAGTAAGAAAAGTTAAATAAGTTAGTGTTCCCTCAAATTTAGAACTTCTATATGGCAATCAGTTTAAAGTTCAGAAAAAATAAACAGGAAAAGGTATTTTTGTCATGCATGACAAAGACATGATATTTCCAATATCCATATGATTTTTTTTTTTAATGTCACAGTAAGACTAGGTTGGTAGAGATGGGAAATTGCTGACACCTAGTGTTGGCAAGGATGTAGGAAAATAGGTTATGCTTTTTTTTTTTTTTTTGGTTATGGTTTTAAGAAAGTATAAATTGGGAATATGTTTTGAGACGTATTTGGTGATATTTGTGAGCATTTTAAACGTGCCAACACCCTATCCCAGCAAATGTTGCTGTAGTGTTTTTTAGTATTGTTTTTTTAAATAGTGTAATATTTATCATGGGACTGACTATTCAGTGGAAAATGTACCACTTTAAAGTTATACAAGGGAACTTGTATAAGTTTATGGAAAAGTGGAATTAAAAGATAAAAATTATAAATTTTAATTCTCAACATAAGCTCCATCAAGGTCAAGACACTTGTATGTGATGACAGCCATTTAGTTCATCCCTAAAGAACTGAGGTTCCTGGGAATTTAACCATGGCAATGCAGTCTTCTTTATATTAATTGAAGAAAAATAGATACCCTTTAACGATTTTTAAGATTGGAAAACAAAAAGTCAGAAGCCAAATTGGGACTGTAAAGTAGGCTGAGCATAATGGATAACATCTATAATTCTAGTACTCTGGGAGGCCAAGACGGGAGGATCACTTGAAGTCAGAAGTTTGAGCAAGACTCCACCAAAAATAGGAAAAATTAACTGGATGTGCTGGTGGAACAACTGTAGTCCTAGCTACTCAGGAGCCTAAGTAAAGCAGGGGGATTGATCGCCTGAGCCCAGGTGTTTGAGGTTGCAGTGAACTATTGATACTGAAATTTTGGAATTTCACTCTTCAGTAAGTTTTTGGTCTCAGTGATTCCAAGAATGAATCCGAGGACCACAGATCAGTGGTAAGACAGGATTTATTTACAGAAAAGAATACAGAAGTGCCAGAGCTCCCAGCAGAGAGAGAAAACTGGAGTCAGGAGAGAAAAGTGTTCTCTCTCCCTCTCTGTCTGTCTCTAGGCTCTTTGTCTAGGGGTAGATAATAGTTGCATGGGGCCCTGGATAGTTAGATTTTTAGTAGATTTAGCGGGGTAGCATTAAGCGTGTCTGTGAGGTCTGTCTGTCTGTCTGGAACAACATGTTACATTTAGAGTGTCTGGGACATCTGTCTGTCTGGAACAACATGTTACATTTAGCGTGTCTGGGACATCCTGTCTGTCTGGAACAACGTGTTACATTTAGCATGTCTGGGACATCTGTCTGGGTTGCAAATTAATGGCTACAATCCCTTTCAGTCCCAGGCCTAGGAAATGGGGACCCCCAGCCTACCCTCCAGCTTGCTGGTTCTTCTGCTCGCTGCCACTGCACCAACATTGCCAAGGTGGAGGCAGCTGGTCTGTGCCCCCCAGCTCCACGAGCTGACTGGGATGCCACTTGTCCTGTATCACTATCATGATGCCACTGTACTACTATACTCTATCTGGGGCAGTAGAGATTTCATGAGCATTTTTCTGCTCAAGCTTCAGCTAATTTTGTCAAAACACTCTCGTAATAAGCAAGTGTCATTGTTTTTTGGTACTCCAGAAAGTCAACAAGCAAAATACCTTGACCATCCCAAAAACTGTTACTATGGCCTTTGATCCTGATCGGTCCACAGTTGATTGCTTTGACTGGACCACATCCACCTCTTGGTAGACATTGCTTTGTCTTTAGGGTCATACTGGGAAAACCATGTTTCATTAACTCTTCAAAGAAATCCTTCAGGATTTTAATTCCACTTATATAAAATTTTCATTGAAAGCTCTGCTCTTGGCTCAGCACCTGTGGCTTGAGTGGCTAAGGCACCAACCACATACACTTGAGCTGGTGGGTTCGAGTCCAGCCCGGGCCTGCCAAACAACAATGATGGCTGCAACCAAAAAATAGCCAGGTGTTGTGGTAGGCGCCTATAGTCCCAGCTACTTGGGAAGCGGAGGCAGGAGAATCGCTTAAGCCCGGGAGTTGGAGGTTGCCGTGAGCTGTGATGCCACTTTACCCAGAGTGACAGCTTGAAGCTCTGTCTCAAAAAAAAAAAGAAAGAAAGTTCTGCTCTTGTCTGTAGCTGATTTGGGCACAACAGTTTTGGGTATCCATCGAGTAGAAAGTTTGCTCAATTTTAATTTTTCAGTCAGGACTATGGAAGCTAGACCAGTTAAGATGCATATGGTGTTGGATGTTATTTCTGCTGTTAATCACTGATTCTCTTTAATTAGTCCATGAACAAGATTAATTTTTTCCTTGCAAATTGATGTGGATGATCTGCTACTGCAGGCTTCATCTTCATTGCCTCAGCTCTTCTCAAAACTACTTACCTGTTTGCGAACAGCTGATATCTTTAGAGCATTGTTCCCATAAACTTTTCAAAGAACATTATTTGGTGTTTGTTCTTGCTTCATGTTTAGCAGAATTCGTGTTGGTCCAATAGAGTCTCTTTTCAAATTGGTGTATTATCCTTCTTAGTGTCTCAAACTAGATCCTTTTCAGACATATTATAACAAGTTAGTATGAGTTTGAATTTTTTTTCTTTTTTTTTTTTGAGACAGTCAGACTTTGTCACTCTTGGTAGAATGCTGTGGCATCATAGCTCACAGTAACCTCAAATTCCTGGCCTCAAGCAATTCTCTTGCCTCAGCCTCCCGAGTAGCTGGGACTACAGGTACCCGCCACAAAGCCTGGCTATTTTTAGAGACGAGTTCTTGCTCTTGCTCAGGTTGGTCTCGAACCCGTGAGCTCAGACAGTCTGCCTGCCTTTGCTTCCCAGAGTGCTAGGATTACAGGCGTGAGCCACCGTGCCTGGCTATGAGTTTGTTTTGGTACAAAGAAATTTTTGAAATCCATGCATACTTTTTTCATAATTTCATTTTCGATGAACTTTCTGAAGATCTCTTATATATTGACATAGAAAGAGCTCAAAGTTACATTAAACTAGGAGCAAGAAACAAGTGATAGAAGAATTACAGAATTCTTATCAGTGTAATACTGGGCTTTCTGTCTAAAAATGTAAGATTCTCATGGTAAAAAATTCACACAGCACAAATAAAATGTCATAAAAAGTTGTTTTTGTGAGAAAATGATAAGGAAAGAAGTTTTAACTATGAGGCACATGCCCATAAAACTTCAGGTTTGTCATATTTGTGAAAATTCCTTTAATTCCTTTTGGTTTTTCATCTGGCTTTTAATAAAAATATGATGCTATTAAAACAACGATCTGTATTTAGTTGGGTATTAGGCTGTAAATGGGGCAAACAGCCATAATAGAAATAGCTTAATTAATTCACTTAATATTCAAAACAACCATGTATGGTGTTAGCCAATTTTGCAGAGGGTGAGAGAGTTCCATAAATATGAAATTGACTTTCAGAACCACCTTATTGACTCTTATGTAGCTATTGTCCTGCCCTCCCCTGCTTTTCCCCCTCCAGAAATTGTGTACATCATCTCTACTATACAACTTCTTCACAATTATTAAGTTTCTGTGCTATGGTTACTAGCTTATTTCTTAAAGGTATATCTTGTGTAAATTCAGTGGGTACCAAATAAACCTTGTATTTGCCACCTTTAGGCTATTTATAGTTAAAATCCCTATACCAAGAAATTGTTGTAGAATTTTTTCTTTTATAATTAGCTTATTTCCAGAAGTATTTCATTCTCTCTTATTTTTAGAAAGCATCTTCTTGGGGGTTTATTTTTCCCAAATTTATTTTCCTAGGTGCAAAAGCTGTCTAAGAATGAAGTGCTCATGGTGAACATAGGATCTCTGTCAACAGGAGGGAGAGTTAGTGCGGTCAAGGCGGATTTGGGCAAAATTGTTTTGACTAATCCTGTGTGCACAGAAGTAGGAGAAAAAATTGCACTTAGCCGAAGAGTTGAAAAACACTGGCGGTAAGTTTATTATTAGCCTTTGCCACTGTCTGATAAAAACACACAATTTCAGCTGGGTGTAGTGGCTCATTCCTTTAATCCTAGCCCTCTGGGAGGCCGAGGCGAGTGGATTGCCTGAGCTCAGGAGTTTGAGACCAACCTGAGCAAGAGTTTCTATTAAAAATAGAAAAGCTAGCCGGGTATTATGGCAGGCACCTGGAGTCCTAGCTACTTAGGAGGCTGATACAGGGAGGTTGCTTGAGCCCAAGAGTTTAAGGTTGTTGTGAGCTAGAATATCATGGCACTCTACCCAGGACACAGAGTGTCCTTAAGTTCTTGGTGCACACATTTTTTCGAACACAACAGTTATTGTGTCTTTCACTCTCAACTGGTTATGTGGATGGCTCTGAAAACTATACGTCTAGCCTTGATTTATAGTCTCATACTTTAGTCCAAATACAGTTGGCATTCTTTCCTCTTAGGCACAGCCGATGCAAAAAAGCAGTAAATTTGGGTTCAGTATTTCTGGGTTTTTTTTTTTTTTTGGCTGGGGCTGGGTTTGAACCCACCACCTTCAGCATATGGGACTGGTGCCCTACCCTTTTGAGCCACAGGCGCCGCCCGTTATTTTTTTTTTTTTAACCACATATTTTAATAAGAATATGTTTATTTTGCAAGTAATTTTTAATTCTTTAGCTACAGTGTCCCTACATTTTTACATGACCATAATTTTATTTTTATAATTTTTAAACATCAGTCACAAAATTTGTAAAAGGTTAAAAAGGTAGGGCGGCACCTGTGGCCTAAAGGAGTAGGGTGCCAGCCCCATATACCAGAGGTGGTGGGTTCAAACCCAGCCCCAGCCAAAAACTGCCAAAAAAAAAAAAAAAGTTAAAAGAGTAAAAGGACATTCTTTGCTCTGAATAATATCACATTCTATTTAACTTAAAGATTATTTGTCTTTTAAATATCAAAAGATAGGTGGAGCCTGTAGCTCAGTGGGTAGGGCACTGGCCACATACACCAAGGCTGGCCAGTTCAAACCCAGCCTGAGCCAGCTAAAACAACAATGACAATTGCAAAAAAATAGCCAGGCATTGTGGTGGGTGCCTGTAGTCGCAGCTATTTTGGAGGCTAAGGCAAGAGAACTCTTGAGCCCAAGAGTTTGAAGTTGCTATGAGCTGTGATGCCACGGCACTCTACCGAGGGTGACAACTTAAAACTCTTGTCCCACAAAAAAAAAAAAAAAAAAGTTGAAGCTGCTGGGGGTCACATTTGTTTGTAGGTCCCAAAGTAGCCCTGAGGTCTGGATAAGAAAATATCTTTTATAAACTCTTAACAAAACTCTCACCTCAAAATTAAAGACTACAAAATATATACAATTATTAATATATCTGTATTCAACATCTTTATAATATCTAGACCATTATGGGACTTTTAGAAATGACAATGAAAATAGGTTTACATTCAGAAAACAGAGCTTACACCAAGCTGATGTGTGTAAGCCTGTGTGTAAGTCTGTTCAAGTCTTAAACTACCATCAAGTCACCATAGTTAAAAACACAGGTCCCCAGAAACCCAGCAAATGCCAAGCAGAACAACTGCAAAAAGAAATCTCAGTGAGAGCTCGGCGCCTGTGGCTCAAGCGGCTAAGGCACCAGCCACATACACCTAAGGTGGCGAGTTCGAATCCGGCCCGCCAAAACAACAGTGACAGCTGCAACCAAAAAATAGCTGGGTGTTGTGGCAGGCGCCTGTGGTCCCAGCTACTTGGGAGGCTAAGGCAGGAGAATCGCTTGTGCCCAGGAGTTGGGAGGTTGCTGTGAGCTGTGATGCCATGGCACTCTACCCAGGGGGATAGCTTGAGGCTCTGTCTTTAAAAAAAAAAGAAAAAGAAATCTCAGTGAGATTAGCCTTTACTGCTCATGTGAAAAGGGGGGGGGATTAGTCAAAATCCCTAGGACACCCCAAAGGCTCGCAGGGCTGCTGGTTACATTTTTGGGTCTGTAGCAGCCTTTTACAGTTTCCATCAAGTGTATCCATAGCTGTCCAGCTCTAAACCAGCTTCTAGAAGGTTGGCTCAAAAACTGGTGTGGGGCAGTGCCTGTGGCTCAAAGGAGTGGGGCACTGGCCCCGTATGCTGGAAGTGGTGGGTTCAAGCCTCAATTACTATGTTCCAAAACTTGATAAAGCATTAGATCAGCACAGAACACTGCTCTGCCTGGGAATTTTTCTCATCTTTTACTTTGGAAATAATTCATACTAAATGGGAGAATTGCATTGTACAAAAAAAGTCTTATATGTCCTTTTCCTAGACCACACACACGCATACATTTCTTTACATATATAAACTTTTTTTCTGAGCCATTTGAAGAGTAGGTTCTTGATTTCATGCTCCTTTTATCATGCTCCTTGATTTCTTAATGCTTCAGTGCGTATTTTCCAAAAAAGAATATTCTTACATAACTGCTTGAAGAAATTTATCACTGATAAAGTATTGAAATCTATGTCCATATTTCAGTTTTGTCACTTATCTTGATAGTGTTGCTTATGTCCCTCCAATCTGGAATCATGCATTTCATTTAGTGTCATGTCTCTTTGATCACTAATTTGGAAGTTCTTCAGCCTTTCTTTTCTTTTTTTTTTTTAATTTATTTTATTTGTTTATTGAGACAGCCTTTCTTTGTCACCCTTGGTAGAGTGATATGCATCATAGCTCACAGCAACCTCAAACTCTTGGGCTCAAGTGATCCTCTTGCTTTAGCTTCCTGAGTAGCTGAGACTATAGGTGCCTGCCACAACAGCTGACTCGTTTTTCTGTTTGTAATAGAGATGGGGGTCTCAGATGTGCTCAGGGTGGTCTCTAACTCTTGAGTTCAAGGTATCCTCCCACCTCAGCCTCTGGAGTAGTGGGGACTATAGGCACTGGCCACAGTGCCAGATATTTTTAGAGATGGGGTCTCACTTATTGCTCCGGCTGGTCTCCAACTCCTGAGTTCAAGCAATCCACCCACCTTGGCCTCCCAGAGTGCTAGGATTACAGGCATGAGCCACCACACCTGGCCCAGCCTTTCTTGGTCTTATTTGATTACCTGAGCTCACGAGTTTGAGACCAGCCTGAGCCAGAGCAAGATCTTGTCTCTTAAAAAAAAAAAAGCCCAGGTGTTGTGGCAGGGGCCTGTAGTCCCAGCTACTCAGGAGGCTAAGGCAAGAGTATTGCTTATGCCCAAGAATTTGAGGTTGCTGTGAGCTGTGATGCCATAGCACTTTACCAAGGGCAACAAAGTGAAACTCTGTCAAAAAAAAAAGATTAGATTCAGGTTATGTATTCTTCGCTAGAGTACTTAGATAGGTCGTGGTTTCCTTCTTGGAGAATCACAACCAGAGGCACATGGTATCTGACTGCTACTCCTTGTTAAGGTTCATTCTGATTACGTGGTCAAGGTATTGTCCAGTTTCTCCACTATATAGTTAATTCTTTTTAACTTTGCAACTAATGAGTAATCTGTGAGGAGACCTTTGGAGCCTATGCAAATAGCCTGCTGGTCATTAAATCCCACCCTCCTGGATTTAGCATCCACTTGATGATTCTTGTCTGAATTGCACTTGAGTATAATGATTACAGAGTTAAAGCACCTCAACAGATCACAATGCCTCTGCCTGCTTCACCACCCCACATTTATCATTTGGCATTCTTTTTTTGTTATTACCTATCTAGTTATATAATGGATTTATTCACTAGGTTGTGATCCATTACTGTCCTTTATTTTGAAGTATAAATTCTTAGAAGATTTGGCCAATGGAGATCCTTCAAGCTGGCTCCTGTATCTTTTTTTTTTTTTTTTTAATACTATTTTTCTGGCACAAGCTGTTCCAGGCTAGTCTTGGACCTTCCCTGCTCTAGTTTTAGAATTGGCCATTTCTTTAAGGAGCCTTGTTTTCTTTTTGTAGGAAATGGTAATGAAGATCTGCGTGCTAGGTGTGCTTATTGCTCGTAGGGTGCTCTTGCTTTGAGGTCTTTAGAATGGATAGAGCTACATACACATACTCATCTTTGCCTACTCGCTCTTTTGCTCTTTCCCAGGTTAGTTCCTGAGTCTGCCCCTTCCTAGTCCTTACCACCATCATTTTAACAATGACTGGGAAAGACTTCTAGTTTGCCTCTTGCTTTGTTACTTTAAGAGCTCAGCCAAAATTTATCTTTATTAAACATGTTCAACATGCTGTGCTTAATAATTATTTCTAGTAGCTTTTCACTATTTTCTGGTACTTGGGACTTTTCTCAAAGCCTCCTTCAACCTGTTTAACCTTTTTTCCTGCTTTGTTATATATAAACTCTCTGAATTAGACTGTGTCCTGATTGTCCCCATAATTATTTAAATCACCCTCGGCTCTCTGTTCGTTCTTCACTACCTACTTTCTTTATTAAGACTTCCTTGATACTCTGTCCTATGATGATGTCTCATCACTTATAGGTCAGAAGATTGATCTCAATTATTACTCTGTAATTTTAAAACAGTTAAATTTTTTGTTTGTCTCTTAAGTAGTTCTGCCTTGTGATGATTTATGCCTGTTTGATTTTACTCTGTAGTGTGATTATCTGTTTGCTATTAGAGACTTACAGATTTCCAGTGTATTTTAAAATAGGTTTTGATAATAAACTTTCCAAAACTCTCAACATGGAATGTATTGTCACTTAGTTTAAATGGCACATTTCCTAGATTCAAACAGATTTTAAAACAAAGAATCTTTTTGTGTCTGCCCACTAATAGTATAAGAGGTGGTTTTTACACTGTTTATGTGGGATTATTCTAGCAACTACAGTTAAGGTAGCAGTATCCAGCCGTGTTCTTTGAAAGAGGAAACAAAGGTCCCTTTATTATGTAGAATAATCTGTTTATGTACTATATGTTCTCCTCTTACTTTCCTTTATCAGCTAAAGTCATTCTAAGGCATTGTGGGCTGGGTATTGTGGCAGGCACCTGTAGTGCCTGCTACTCAGGAGGCTAAGGCATGAAGATCACTTGAGCCCAAGAGTTTGAGATTGGTATGAGCTATGGTGCCACAGCATTCTACCTAGGGTGACTGAGTGAGATTGTCTCAAAAGGAAAATAAAATAAAAGTATTGTGATCTTTTGAGGTGCTATGAATGGAAGGAAAGCATTTTTCCAGGAGAAAAGGCTAGAGAATGAGGTTTTTGTTTTTGTTTTTTTTTGAGACAGAGCCTCAAGCTGTCCCCCTGGGTAGAGTGCTGTGACATCACAGCTCATAGCAACCTCCAACTCCTGGGCTCAAGCAAGTCTCCTGCCTCTGCCTCCCAAGTAGCTGGGACTACAGGCGTTTGCCACAACGCCCAGCTATTTTTTGGTTGCAGCCATCGTTGTTTGGCGGCCCAGACTGGATTCGAACCTGCCACTTCAGGTGTATGTGGTTGGCGCCTTAGCCACTTGAGCCACAGGTGCCAAGCCAAGAATGAGGTTTTTAAAAAAAAATCAGACTGGGGGTGGTGCCTGTGGTTCGAAAGAGTAGGGCGCCGGCCCCATATGCTGGAGGTGGTGAGTTCAAACCCAGCCCCGGCCAAAAAATAAAAATCAGACTGGGGTGGTGCCTGTGACTCAAAGGAGTAGGGCGCTGACCTCATATGCTGGAGGTGGCGGGTTCAAACCCAGCCCTGGCCAAAAAAAAATAAAATAAAATAATTCTCTGGGGCGGCTCAAAAGGGTAAGGCACTGGCCTCATATGCCAGAAGTGTTGGGTTCAAACCCAGTCTTTTCAAAAAAAATATCTGACTGATGGGCAGTGCATGTGGCTCATAGGAGTAGGGCGCCAACCCCATATGCCAGAGGTGGCAAGTTCAAACCCAGCCCTGGCCAAAAACTACAAAAAGAAAAAAAAAATCAGACTGAAGTGGTTTGTGTATTGTCATGATTCCTTAGTAAACTGAAGGGCCCTTGGGTGGTTCTGAAGGGGTAGTTATGTTTTGATAGAGTGAAGATGAACATATTTATGGTAGCAACTTTTTGTTTTCCCTGTTATTCATGGCAGCCAGAGCCCTAGTTCTAAGACATAGTTTGATCTAAGAAGGTAGCATGGGCTGTCTTTATGGAGGAATAAGGCTTTGAGAATAAATTTGGATTTAGATTAGAGAAGCTAGGCAAATAAAACAAGTTCTATCATATGGTTGTGTGGTAATGATAATGAAATGGATGTAAAATTCATGATTTCTTTTCATTTTGCAGTTTAATTGGTTGGGGTCAGATAAGAAGAGGAGTGACAATCAAGCCAACAGTAGATGACGACTGAAGAATCACAGTTAAATAATACATTTGGATGGAGTTGGGATTTCTCTTAACCTAGGGGTATATTTTCAAAGTAATATTAGGAAATTTATTTCACAGCTCATTACCTTAATAGGTAGCTAGCTGTAAGATTATCCTCATTTTTTGATGAAAAAATCAAAACCTCTGGTATTAAAATAGGACCTATAATAAATATGAAAATTGGCACAACGTTGCATTCAATCTACATGTTAGCAGAAAGTAAGCATTCTCAAATGTCTGATTTATAATGTCAACACAGGTTCGAAATGAAATCATTTCCTACGCCAATCTTTGCTATGGCATACACACATGCCGTTGAACCTGTTTGAAATAAAGATTGTTGTTTTTTTCATGTTCCGTCTTTAAGTAGCTCTAGGCTGAAGGACTGTTGTACTATTAAAAACTTGAAGACACAAATTCTCCTAGAAAACCAGCTCCCTTTTGTTTGGCCCCGTATTTTATTTTGCTTTATCTTTGAAGTTTTGAGTCAAAAGGAAATTAATAGGTTCAAATTGTTCTTCAAAGCATGAGTGCTCATTCCCATAAACTGTTCTTTCCCTTTCCCTATGATGCCCTGATGCATTGTTTATGCCTGAAACCTAATCGCCTTGCCTTCCTGGAAAATACTGTTATAACAGGTTTTTAATGTGTTTTCTTAACTGTTTAATCAATAATGATCATGACATACATTCTCATGTTCGTAATCTATGGACCTTTCAAAAGCTCAATCTATGGATGCTTTCAAAAGATGTTAGAGAGCAGAGAGTGACTCCTTTTGATTTTTAACTTATGTTCCATGTCCCTCCACTTTTCTTGTGCTCTTCTTTTTATTTTATTTATTTATGTTTTTTGCTTCATAAAAGATTCTGTTGAGCAGTGATTCCCAGCTCTGGCTGACATGGAATTGGTAGAAAAAGTGGAGGGGGCAGGCCCAGTGATTCACACCTATAATCCTAGCACTCTGGGAGGCTGAGGCAAGTGGATTGATTGAGTTCGAGACCAGCCTGACCAAACTAAACCCTGTCTCTATAAATAGAAAAAACTAGCTGGGCATTGTAGCAGGCATCTGTAGTCCCAGTTACTCGGGAGGCTGCGGTAAGAGGATTGTTTGAGCCCAAGACTTTGAGGTTGCTGTGAGCTATAACACAACAGCACTCAACCCCCAGGGCACCTGAGTGAGACTCTGTATCAAAAAAAAAAAGGCTTGGCGCCTGTAGTCCCAGTTACTTGAGAGGCGGAGGCAGGAAAATCGCATGAGCCCAGGAGTTGGAGGTTGCTGTGAGCTGTGATGCCACAGCACTCTACCCAGGGCGACAACTTGAGGCTCTGTCTCAAAAAAAAAAGACTTGGCGTCCATAGCTCAGTGGTTAGGGCACTAGCCATATACTCCAAGGTGTGGGTTCCAACCTGGCCTGGGCCTGCTAAACAGCAATGACAACTGCAACAGAAAAATAGCCGGGTGTTGTGGCAGGCACCTATAATCCCAGCTACTTGGGAGGCTTAATCAAGAGAATCACTTAAGCCCAAGAATTTGAGGTTGCTGTGAGCTGTGATGCCATGGCACTATACTGAGGGCGACATAATGAGACTCTGTCTCAAAAAAAAAAAAAAGACCCACGCAGATTCTGAATTGACTTGTAGAGCCAGGCAGTGATTTCCCCCCTCCCTCCAAAGACAGAGTCTCACTTGGTTGCCCTTGGCAGAGTGCTATGCCATCATATCTTACAGCAACCTCAAACTCTTGGGCTTAGGTGATCCTCTTGCCTCAGCCTCCCAAGTAGCTGGGATTACAGGCACCCGCTGCAATGCCTGGCCGTTTTTTTTTTTGGCCAGGGCAGGGTTTGAACCCACCACCTCCAGCATATGGGGCTGGTGCCTTACTCCTTTGAGCCACAGGTGCTGCCCAATGCCCGGCTATTTTTAGAGATGGGGTCTCATTCTTGCTCAGGCTGGTCTCAAACTCCTCAGCTCAGGCAATCCACCCACCTCAGCCTCCCAAAGTGCTAGGACTACAGGTGTGAGCCACCATGCCTGGGCAGGCATTGATATTTTTAAAAACTCCCTTACACTGAGAAATAAGTTTAGAGATTTGAGAAGTAGATATATTAAATAACAGAATCTTACTGGGTTTTGTCAGTCTGATAGTACTTTTCAGTTTGCTTTTCTTAAATTAGCATTGACATAGGATTTGATGCCACAGTTATCATATTGTGCTCTTTTGGACATTGAAGCTGCCTTGTAGAAGTTTAGAAACTGGCTGCGGGTCGTTATTTAAGTTGATATGTTTTAGGGAAACATATTAATGTTTTATATCTATTTACTTGGTGGACTTTGAAGGGTTGTGTTGTAGCCTGAGGAACACATTTAAATAAAACAAGGTTCTAGGTAAGGGAATTGCTTGAGCCCAAGAGTTTGAGGTTGCTATGAGCTGTGACGCTACAGCACTCTACTGAGGATGACAAAGTAAGACGCTTATCTTTAAAAGAAAAAAAAAGGTTCTAAACCAAACATTAATTTTATATTTAACACATCCCCATGTGTTTTGTAAGCACTTCCTACAGGAAATTCTAGAGTAAAACCAAAAATACTGACTGAATTTATTATACAAGGTATCCTGTTATACAAGACATAATTAATCTCATGTCTAATTAATTTCATGTCAGAATTGGAACCAGAAATCTCTTGTAATTAATGTCAAACATCCACATGAATGTCAACAAATTTGCAAAGCACTATGCTGAATGTAATGGGTGTATACAGATAAGAAAACAATGGACATTATTTTCGTAGAATTTGAAGACAATGCAGTGATCTTTAGTAAAAGATATACCTGATTGAGATGCCTATAATGCAACATTTCTGATGAAAGTATATTGCACATATAAATTCTCTTGGCTGAACTGTAAAGGTATTTTCAAAATCTGACCAGTTCTTAGCACCCTAGTGAAAGCCACCCGTCACTGTTACCTGGTTGGACTAGCTCTTCTAACTCCTCCCTGCTTCTGTGTTTCCCCCTGCTGTAGTATTTTCTTAACACAGTAGTCAGAGTTACCCTGTTTGTAAGAGAATACTATGTACAACTCTGTGAGAATAAACTGTGAAGTTAGTCTCAGAAATGATGGGTAGAAAGACAGTCTAGCTGTGGCATCATCCAAATGGTTTCCAGGCTGATCTAGAAAGCCGGGTGTGTTTTACTCCTGTGTAACCTCTAAAGATGATATGTATTATGTGTGTGTGCTTGTTTTTGCAGAGGAAAAAGAACTTTAATAAGAATGTGCAAATAGCTGTACTCATAAAACTTCTGAAATCCCATTTTTAGAAAAATGATATGGTGATTCTTCCAGTGAAATTGATGCTTTTCTGGAAATGTGTAATTTTTTAAAATTATCAGATAGGAAGCAGATACTCCTAGGAGATTTATAACTATGAAACAGGTTATTAAAATACTACACCTGTAAAAATCTCCACAGACTTAATACACGTTCTGCCCAATTTTAAGGAATAGCTAATTCCTAATGTTACTAAAATTGCTCCAGAATATAGGAAAAGAAAGGAGGGGGAGATATCCTTATTCATTTTTCAAGATTATTATATTTCTGCTACTCAGATCTGGAGAGAAAACTACAAACAAAACTGAAGATCATTTTCCACATATCTGGAAGTAAAATGTATACAAAATTCAATCCAGCAATGTACTAAAAGAATGATACATTCTTGTATATACACAGGTGTTTTATAGGTTGAACAAAAGTACTTTGGAGATGTATTTGATAGAATTCACAGTAATATTTAAAACATAGATGATGTAAAGAAGGGAACTTTATGGACTTGATGTGGTGTACTAAGCAAAGTATAAGCATAACCATTGTTTTTAATGATGAAACATTGGAGTACAATAGTGTAGCATAATGCCACAGGTGAGGTGAAAATTTCAGTTCGGTAAAATATGGGTTATTTTTAGGTTAATAATTTGAATGAAATTCCCAGGGTGGAAAGCAATCATGAATTATACCAGAATTCATATTGTATGGTTTTTCTGTGTTCTCATTAAGGTCTGAAACAATGTCACCTACTGAAGTTCTACAACATTGTTACCTGGGTTTAGCATATGAGATGTAAATACAGTAGAACCTCCATAGTCGACCACCTCCTTGAGTTAACCTGGTTTTCATAGACTAGACGTGCACCACATGTACTTGATGGAAGTCCCTTATGTTAACCACCTCTGTATATTGACCAGTTTGTTAAAGTCCCTTTGGTCATCAACTTATAGAGGTTCTACTGTATTGGGAATGTAAAAGAATGTTTTTTACAAGGTATAAAATTTTCTACCTAGAAAATACAACCCAGAAATTGAAAAACAAACTGGTAAGAGTTAAGTAATGTGACAGTTAAACATGCAAAATTATTAGTTTATGTATTCATTACATACAAATCAAAATGCAATGGATATTAACCATCCAGGTGTACATTTAATAAGAATATGCAAGATATGTATGAATGAAGCTAACATTTTGCTAAAGAACAGAATAGGAGATGCAAATAATAAAGATAATCTTGGGTGGGAACATTCAATATTGTACAGATGACTGTGCCTCCCATTTTTTCCTACAAGTTCATTGCAATAGTGATCAAAATTTTAGTAAGGCTTTTAAAAACTTGTGAAGCTGATAATAAAGATTTGGAAATGTAAGTTCCCAAGAATAGGATATAAACATTTGCAAAACATTGTGGTTGGCTAGTAAACCTAACACATTTTAGAACATAGAAAGCCACAGTATTTATAAAAAGTATGGTGTTGGCTCAGCGCCTATAGCTCAACCGGCTAAGGCGCCAGCCACATACACCTAAGGTGGCGGGTTCGAATCCCCAGCCC